GGACTAATCACCATGCCATAGATATGCCGTATGTTGTATCACAGCTACTAAATTTTCTGCTTATTTAGGAAAGATACTTAATAATTATTTTTATAATTAGCTTTAGTCTAGGATGAAGGTGTTAATAATGGTAACGTCGCCGCCATGGAAATGACAGTTTCATACAATATCAGTGACTAAACCAAAGTATTCAGCATCAATTTTGCAGTTGGCTTTCGTGTGTTCGTCCATCATGATTTTCAGGGATCTATTTGTTTCACTTGTAAACACAACTACAGTTACTGCTACTTACCTTACATAGTGGGCATCTTAACGTCCTTGTCAAGTTAAAGAGAAGCTGCTCGTATGCGAGAGAAACTGTCAATGGTGTGCGGGTGTGCAAAAGACCATGTTTGTATTTAAAATTTGTGGCGTTGTTCGACATACTTAAGAAAAGTGGAATCGTAATAACTGATTTTAAATGAAAGGTTATGAAAGACTAGTCTGAGGGTCTTGAATGGTCATGTTTATGAAATATTTGGCGTATCTATTTTTAAGAAAGGCGGTAGAAAAGCTGTTGGATATCATTGCTAAGCATCATATCAATCCGAGCAGTTTTTTATACCACTGTTCTGCATGCATTTCATTATGTTGTTAACATTCGATTTTAGAGTAAAGGGACAAATCTTTAAATATCTAATGGAATTTTGTGTTTCTCTAGAACGCGAATAAAAACAAATTGTTAGTTTGACGTTTCGCTAAATCTCTAATGAAAATTTTTGTTGTTGATATTTTGCTCTTCCCTGAACTCTACCTGTTTTTTAAGAAATTATTTAAAATGTTCATAAAATAGTTAGGGATTGCTATTGATGTAGTTTAAGATTATAATAAGTGTAACTTAAATAAACAGCAGGTTTGAAATGAGACAAAACGATATTTCCTTGCGCTAAATCATGCATGATTATCATCAAGCTTTAAACTTTAATAAATTTCCTCTTTAGGCAATATGTAGAGAATTATCAGAAACTATATACTCATCACTGGGAAATATGTAAAGAACTAATAACTTGAAAAGATTTATTAGTAATAAAAGCTGAGTGCTTGGAGTCCATAGCGGCGTTGAATTATTAGCGTTAGTGAGCAGTAGGAAATACTGTAGTTCAACCATAAAAGACAATCAGGTAAGTTTAACGCACCACAAGTGATGATTTAATTAGCATTCCATCTTCATACGTTTCGGATTTTACTATATGACTTGAATATCTGAAGTTTGCCAGTAAGTTTTCTCTTGAATTAATCAATAAATTTCTGCTTATGAATGGAGTACACCGCATTACGGATTTCTCGCATCTTGTAGATGAAACCATTGCAATACGACGTCTATCGTTGACATTCGCATAAGTCACGAATGTGAAGACAGATTCGGAGGCAGGTACATTGGAAAGCTTTTAAGCTGACGAGAAAACTGAAAATTGCACGCAAACTCATTGATAGCTTGACAAGCATTCACCCACAAAAAATTTTTTTGCACGCCTTTGCATTAATCGACATCAAAACTTTACGGAACTCCATTCCTTCATGGTTGACACATTTATGGCATCGTCGGAGTTACAATGTGAGTGACATACGCTTATGCGAGCAATGTAAGACACTACTGACTTTAATGATACTAGGACTAGCCTACTGAAGCATGGCCTCAAGTTTCAAAAATAGCAGGCGCTGAAGAAATATCCGGGAAACTCCATTAAATTTGGCCCTGAAGAAGTTTTGTGTTGTTATAAATACTCCGCAAGCGAACATATTTTCATATTAATGCGTATATAGACTACGAGTGTTTGAAACATTGTTCGTGATGAGCGCGATTGTTTCCCAACGGCCAAATTAGTGCAGCATGCATCTGACTTTATTGAGTTCGAATAATGAAACCGTGGCTTGCATAAATGGGCCCATAGGCAATAATTAGCAAGGTGAAGATGCAATGTGCTGTGAAACTTTTTCTTAGGGTTAGGCACCTGCGCAGAAAGGTACCTATTAAAGAACATATTTGATGCTTCCGTGATGATGATCTTCGCCGTCAATCTTATTATTCAAACTTTTAATCTTACACAATGTTTTCCAGTAATCCATTTGCCTGCATTAATATGTATTATATGATATTGCCGTCCAGAGTAACACCATACATATGTTGCAGATGGATTAGTGTATTCTACATATTTTACAGAGATAGTCATTATCATGTGAACGTTATACTGTGTTTGTTGCGAACTTGTTGCACCACATTTTAGCAGCTTTCAAACACTAAATTAATTTTCAACCGGTAAATGCAAAATGAAGTTTTATTGCGAATGTAAAATTATATGTCGATGTATGATTTACACGCTGTGTATGATAGAGATTTTCTGAAACAACTAAATATAATCTAACTCCTCACAAGTCCGTGCTGAATGTAAATAAAGATATGCAAGAAATTTGCAGAATACTTTGTCTGACGTGTGGAAGTTTGACTTCAACACCACTCTGAACTTCTCCCAGGAATCATCCTTGGCTTTTGCCACTGCTATGACTGCCGCCTTGCGTGCCTCGACACATCGCACGCGTGTAGATGGCTCCTTGTTTCCAAGCCATTTCTTGAACGTTGCTTTTTTTTCTTTAACTGCCAGTTGTACCTCTCGTGTCTACCATGAAGATCTTTTCTGACCTCCAGGCGGCATGCCAACCCGTTTATATCCGCAGCATTCGGCGGCAGCCTCGAGTAGGCCTCTCTTAAACAGCTGCCACTCG